GCAACAGTGCAACATAGATCAACTGACCGAGACTGTGAGATCCCTTACCCTCGAGGTAGAAAAACTAAAAAATAAATTGAGCACTATGGAACCAAAAAAAAAAAAATGTCTACCGCTACTCAAACATACAAACTGGCTGTTAAACATAAAGAGGCATATACATAAAAGCAAACAGTGCTGTCTACCAGTGTTTCTAGACATGTCCAGTGAAACACCACGGTATACGTTTGGCTGAGTCGAGCACTAATACAGAGATATCACCCGCAAAAAAAAATCAGAGGCGGAAACTTCAAAACCCTGGAAACCATAAAAAAAATGAAGGGTGGGTTTCAAAGTGTGTCATTACTCATAAGTGGAAGTTCAATTCTTCAAAGAGTAATACCCGTGAATTGGGTAAATCTGTGAATATATCTACAAATAGAGGAGCCAAAGTGTCCATATAAGAGCAAAATTGGGCAAAATGGATGCATCGCCTTACGTAATGTTACATTTATCATTCAGGCAGGTGGGAATGAGGTTTTAAGGTGGGAATGATGTTTTAAGCAACCGCAACCCAGGAGCAATTGAAAATGACTTCACGGAAATTATTTGTGATCTACGGAAAAAGCACCCTGGATTACAAGTGTACCCCTCCGAGGTCTTGCCACGAAGGGATACAGATGTACGTAAAGTGAATAAAATTATCAAATATGTGTGCAAAGAGTATGGTTCTATTCTTATCCCGATTAGCAAAATTATCAACGAAATGAGCTCTACTGGAAAGACGACGTTCATTTGTCTGATTCTTGCACTGCAGAATTGCTCAAAAATATAAATCAGTGTGTGCATATTCTATTGAAATTTAATCGAAATACACAGTACAATGTGTATAGAGTATTAGGAAACAGATACACCATCAAAATTATAGCCATAAAAATTGAATACAAAATTCATTACAGTGCAGGGAACTAATTTTGTTACATAAACCAGCATCAGCATAAGCATTATTAGCATCAGGATCGAGCTAGCATCAGGATCAGCATTTAAAAAACAGCATTACCAGGATCAGCATCAGCAAGCAAAGGATAAAACCAGCATTGACCTACATAAAATCAGCATTATCCTACTAGCATCAGAAAATCAATGAGTTTTAATTCAGTAAAAAATTAAAAAAGAGAGAAAGAATATTGGTTAAAGTATTCACATTATTGATACATAGTGAGATATTATGATCAAATAATTATAAAATGCACTTTTATTGCTTTAAACGGCAATGCTGAAATTCATTATCTTCTTCCGGTAGCATGAGGCTACTTCCGGTAACATTGACCTAATTATAAAACAGCATCAGGATAAGGATAACTAGCATTAAATCAGCAAGCAAAGGAAGCATTCAAATCAGCAAGCAAAGGAAGCATTCAAATCAGCATCGATGCTGTAACAAAATTAGTTTCCTGCACTGTACATTCATTGCGTTTTTAGAATAGCCGATCTTTCAGCTTCATGTATTCGAATCGTTTTAATTCTTCTTGTTCATTCGTCTTTGTCCCTATTAAAGATGGATTCTGTTTCAAGAAGTTGTTAATAAAAATATTCACATGATTTGTATCAACTAATTGTAAATATTTATTGAAGATACACTGTAAATGTTCTCTATTACAAGCTATGACATGTTTCTTTCCAGTTGTTAGGCTTTTTATTGTTTAATTTTGTTTGTTTGTTTTTAACTTATTACTCCGATTATTTTATAAAAACAACGGGTGGGCGGCATTTATAACCGTTTTGCACCTGATTTAACTTCGGTTTTCTCAAGGGGTCTTTATTTTTACCTTGGTCATGTTTTGTATTTTTTCCCAGGAATTATTAGACTGAATGTAGCAAGGTTAAATTTTTTCAAATAAAAATGTTCTTGAAAAGTGTTCACAGACGGAAATGTCGGATATTTTATGCTAGTTTATATTTTTATTTATATATTCATATAATTATCATTATCAATCATTTGAATTATCTAAAAAAAAAAACAACTTGAATTTAAGGTTTTAATTTGCTAGGAATCAATCATAAGACAAGTCTCAATAAGGCTCAACTATGGTCCCTGATTATATGTATAATATGTATCAATTATTTCCACAGATCTATCACATTAGTTTACTTGATTTCTTGTCAAACCTACTTCAAATCATGTTCACATTCACATGATATAAGTAGAAAAGTGGTTATACTTGAAAACTTCTATTCACTTTTCAATTTTTAAAGTCATACACAACTATTTTGTACACGTTAAATGTAATTACAATATAGCTTAGTCATAATAAATTCTAGGTCACCTAAGTCAACCAACTGCCATCGGATTTTGACGTTCGTCATTCGTCTTGCATCTGAACACTTTTAGCTTTTTCTCTGGAACCGCTAAACCAATTTCAATTTATTTTGGCATATATCATCTATAGGTAAAGTGGAACAATTGACAAAATATTCCGAGGCCTGAAGAAAGGGTTGAAACCATCAAAATTAGTGTTATCTTTTAAAAATCTTCTACACTGGCAACTTTGCTAAATATGATCCACATACACATGCGAGTTGAGGCTAGCTATAGGCGTTGCTATGCAAATGAGCTAATAAAAAAGCATAAGAGGTATATTTATTATTCAGGGAATGTGTTGACGTATTTTCTTATGCATACTTAGCACCCACGATATGTTATAGCCAGTACACATTATGACGTCACTAATCTTACCTTCTGGAGGTAATAAAACACATCAACAAAACAGCTTCGGCGCAAGGGATTACCCTATTTATTTTTAAAAAAAATATTGTATAATGCTAAGAAGAATATTCTATAAATTAATAAAACTGCTGCACAAATCCTAGGTATTTTTTCATTTGATCGGAATTTGAGAAAACTTATACCGGACTGTACATTTTTACCCTTATTCAACTTAAGACTTTACAAATAGAAATTATACAACTGAGCTGTTGATATTTGTACAGCAATACCAGCAAACTTTTTTGCTTCTAAATATACCTTGTTTCAGTTAAATAAAAAAAGAGCATGCCCTTGAGCCGAAGCATTTTTGTTGATATCCATTATAATCTTGTGTAGTAAAGAACAATGACGTCATAAAATGACGTCACAATGTGTAATGGCTATGTCACGTCGTGGGTACCAAATATGTATTAGACAATAAATTGTAACTTTCTCTGTATACTAGATATAGTTCTTAGGCATTTTAATTAGATTATTTGCATAGAAACGCCTATACCTATCCTTAACTCACCTGCGTATGTGTATCATATGTGAATCATATGATTGGTTTCATATGAGAATCATAAAAAGGGCATCATATGTGAATCATATAAAGCAAATCATATGATGCACATGATTCGCCACATATGATACTCATATGATTGAATATACATATGATACTCATATGATTGAATATACATATGATACTCATATGATTCTGATATGATCCTCATATGAAAGGCAATGCATATATGGATCATATGTGGCGAAATTGCCTCTGTAGACTATATTCCCTCTTCATCCTTTTCCTCTTACTTTTGGGCAGCATAGTTTATTTAATTTTCTTCATTGTTTGATTTTATACTTCTGCGGATCCTATATAGTAATTGTATATTACTCAGATGACCGGTACATGTAAGGTCATTGAGCCTCTTGTTCAAGATATTCTGGGTTTAAAATCATAACACCATCCTATGTTTTTACAAATATCATTTATTACAAGGGGTTTTAAACATATAACATATGACGAACTTTCTTGTTTTTTCAAATGAAAATTAACAAAAATCTATTTTGTCCAAATTTGATTTAGAAGAGGTGGACAGCATAGTACAATTAGGCATGATAAAAGTCGTACAAAAGTCTTTCAAATATTGGTTCTCTTTAATCATACAGTAATAAGTAAATAGAGTTAAAAAATTCTGTGTTACTGAATAAAGGCCTTGATTTACTTTGTAAGAATGAAATATACAGTATATAGTTCGTTTGAATTATTTTTTATTATAAAGATGTGAAGGTAAAACAATTGAAAATATGTAAACAAATTAAACAACTTAATGCATATTGATAACAGTTGCAATATAAGAGAAAAGATTACCTTTCTGATAAAACTTTTAAGGAGTCATGTTTTATTTAAAATGTTCTGATACCTTTTCACTTGACTTGTTTGTTTGAAGATTCATACTTATCTTATTGATAAACATGTATTGTTTGTATAGAAATGTAATGTCGTATTTTTATTCATTTTTACGCAATAAAACAACAAAAAATGATGCAAACTTATCTGAATAAATCTGCCAACATCAACAACTCCACATATAATTGTAACCCCCCTCCCCCCATAAAAAAGAAAGAAAAAAGAACGGCGAATCATTTCTTTGAGTTTTTTGTATTCTAAAGGAAATCGTCAATAAAAATAGGTAGCAACTAATCCTTTGCCAAGCGCTTGGCACTTTGAAGTGAAAATTGTGGGTCATTCGGATGAAGCCTTAAAAACCGATGGCCCATGTCACGATAGACGTTTGCACGATAACGAGCCTTAACTGTTCAATGGCCTGAGTGCCGAGTAAAGATGTAAATTTGAAACCCGTCATCGGTATATGATAACGTCTCTATATGAGTGAAAAATTCTCGAACAGGACGTACAACTAGAGACAATCAATCAATCTAAAGGAAATTGATAAGAATTATGTTTTACTTGTTTATCGTCTGCTCTCCGATCACTATTTATATATTGTGTGATCTCAATACCCTAATCATTTCTGTAGGGAAGAAGAATTTTTCATGGATTGTAGCATGTACATGTTAAACTATTGGGAATTTGACACACACGCAGATTTTACCGTGTTAAACTGAAAACAATATTGCTTCAGTGATAGTCTAATTGAAGTCTTTTTTAGATAGTGAATTACCAAATTGAACTATTATAATGTTGAATTAATTGTACTGGAATATCGTTTTGTCGAAGTCATCCAAATGTGAACGAGCTAATTTGGAATACAAGACTCAAATGTCACTTATTTCTATCATCTATTTCTTGAACTTTCTTGTCCAAACTATCAAGTCGTTTTTGAACTGATTGCATTGAGGTATTTAAACTTACGACCAGGTCCTGAATGTTATTTAAAGTTATTGCCATGGATTTTACGTCAGTTTCTGAAATACTCGAAGTAGCTTGTGCTGAGACACTCGGAGTATATCCTGAACCAAAAGGATAATAAGGTTTTAAAGCTGAAGGTAAACCAAATGACTGTAATATACTGTCGATGGGTGTAACCAAACAGGTGCCTCGCGCAGAAAGTCCTATCGCCATACCAATACAGCTAAGTGTCTTATCTGGGTTAATACAAAACACAAAGGATCCAGAATCTCCCAAGCTGAAAAATTCTCCTTGTGGCATATTTTGTATTTCTATTTGATTACACATAACAGCACAGTAATTTGTGTTTGGAAAACTCATGGATTCGTTCATGATTCGCACATGCACACTTTCTACATAAAGCTGTCCAATTGTAAACCCCGTTGTGGCTCCGAATTTTACAACAGTATCTGATATATCTGTTGTTTTATCGATAAACCTTTCTGTTTCTCCAGGACAAATTTGTCGAGGAAGAGAAACAGTTTTACCGTCAAATTTTGGTAATTTTTCTGGGTCAAATCCTGAAAAAAAGAAAACAAAATGAGTAAGATCAATTTCACACAAAATAAATGAGAAATAAGAGACACTGTATTTTATGATTGTTGGACCGCATAGGTCTCGGTGTTTGAGTAATAAAAGTTCCGTTATTTGAACGTAGGCTAACATTAAAATGGTTTTCTAATCAGAAAGATAATAGATAAAATTGAAACTGAAAAAAAAGTGTGCTTGTGCGTAATTCATATCAACATCGGAACTACTTGTTTGATGAAATTAGTAATGTTCTTATGTTCTGAACTGCAAAAGTTCATTTACCCGCAGAAAGTAGCTGGTCTGTTGGAACTGTGCGAAAGCTAACCCTCTCTTTATTTTGGTAAAGTTCAACGACAGCTGCGTCGATACTAACTTCCCGTCTTGATGAGGAAGTTGGTAAATATTCTGAACAATAAATACAAGCAGGGAACTTCGCATCAAGAACTTTACCACATACTTGAAATCTGTGTGCGCTCTTCTCAAAAGTTTCTATTTCAACTTTCTCAAAATTTTTAAATATTAAATCTTCCGGCGAAAATAATACATGGGCACAAGTTATGAAGCCTATTTTATTACCAGGAAGGTCTACAAGCCCACCTATACTGCCACTGCTACCCCCATTACGGCGAACATGTCCTCCAATTTCCAGTGATCCGAAAGAGCAATAACCTTCTAGAACATCAACATCAAAGTTTCCTATTCTTCTTGGGAACTCTTTTTCACCATAAGGTATATATCCTTTGTGTTTACAAAATAAACTAATACATACGTTGTGAACTACTTTGTGATTTCCGGCTGAATATCCAATAGATTTATATGTTGATGCTGTTATCATGGTAAGATTTGAGTGGAATCTAAACAGTTTCCTTGCAGTCAGCTCTGTGATAAGTGGTAATTTATCTCTTGAGTGAGATGTGCAGGAATTGGTTATCAGCAATGCCTCCTCAGACTGATGTCTGTACTTTTGAAAGATAACCTTAATTCCCAATATTTCTTGTGGAATATCATAATGTTTTTCAATGGTGCCTTTATATAACAGAATTATAACACATCTTTTTGTACTGTCGAAGCAAAGTGATAGACTGATTGCTAACTTCTGAAACCATTGAAATTTCTTCAAAATTCTACTTTTTACGAGCAATAATATTACGTCAGGGACAAAGCTATTTTTTTCATTGTTGTCTCGAAGAAACGATTGAAAAAGGAATTCACTGGAAAACATAAAAGTAGGAAACAGCTCAGAGAAAAGAATATAGTTTCTGCTTTTAATGCTATGTTCAATGATACGTATCATAGCTTTAGTGCCGATAGAACTTTTGTTGCGTTCCAAAGCTCTCTTTGCAAAAACTGTTATAAGAACACACAAAGCGCTCGAAATGCAAGAACATTTTAAAGATCTTGAGATTGAAAATTTCTTGTTGCAGTTTCTAATCCATTGAATACTATCCATTTTCTTCCACATACAATAACCAAGTAAAATCTCAGATATTGGATCAGGTTTCAAATGTTTATGGTGATTTACCCATTCGTCACAGAGACTTGCACAATCAAGATACTCAACATTGTCTAGAATATTTTCAATTTCACTTTTGTAAAGTCTGTCTTTCCTGTGCTGTCTAAAAGTTTCTGCTTCAAATGCCTTAATTGTCTGCTGCATGCAAAATTCACTTTTCCTGATCCCTTTCTGAATAGATACCTTTTTACAGAGAAGGAAACGGATTCTTTTTCGAGTCCTATACCCTGAAAGCAAAGTGACAAGATCATTCAGTCGCCATGCATGGGGATAGATATATCTGAAATACAAGAACTTCATCAAATTTAAGGGCAGCTCCGTCCCATAGAAGTGCCCACTTTTAGAAAGAAAAAGAAATATCTATGGACTTTAACCCCTAAATAATGCTTCATTAGTAAACGTAGAACATTGGTCTTGCCATTTTTTTAAAATGTATCACATAGGTGTCCTTGACATAACTTTAAAGTTCTACAACATGTTGTCTACACTATTTCAGACCTAACCTGAAATATTTTCAAAGAATATTTCTTTGTAAAACGGTTGCCTTGTGGTACGTCGCAAACAGGAACTTGTACATTTCATATGTTTGGGACAAAATGATAATTTCTCAGGCATTCAAAATTTCCATTGATTAACCTTTTCATACGTAATATATTTAAAAGAAAAATAATTAAATTCTATTTAACAGGCTATCAAATAACAAAAGATAGGAAATATTTTTAACAATTCGTGTTTCTAACAAACCAATTGAAATACTCACTCAAAACAAGCCTTATTAATATACAAGCTGTATCCACTGCAATTAATAAAGAACAGACTTGAGTCGGACTTAAGATTTTAAATACTAATATTTTCTATTATTCAACAAACATGTTTTAAAAGTTGCACGTTTGTTCAAACCAAACAAACAAAGAAAGGCATTTGGGGGGGGGGGGGGTGTTATTTTTTCTCAAAAGCTATACAAATTTGAAATTGGGACTCAAATCTTCAGGAAACTTCTCTGTAAATTCTATTTTGGAATGACACTGTTCAATACACTTGATTAATGTATGGGATAGAACAGTACATTTCTATATTTTGGAAAATAAAAGGATATCTACTCAAACAAAAACACTGAGTATGATAATTATATAAACATCGAATTATTTTATTGTCATACGGTTAACAACATTGTAGGTAGCTTTGATGATGAACTTATATAATTACGCACGTTATTCAATTTTCAGTGTTAAACAATTTGAATAGAATTCTTCTATATTCTAACCTTCAAAAAGTTTCTTCCAGCTATTACTGCTTCCATCAAACATATCTGATCTTTGTCCATGTTGCTCCATAATGTAAAATGCAAGTACTGAACAAGACGAAATTTGGAATGCAAATCTGAAATTTATCTGAAAAGAATTATTAGATTTTCTTGACCTTTATCATGATTATTTTTAAGAATACTATTCCAAACATACATATAAAATCAAGAAACAGTTAAAAATTACCATGTTTATCATTAAACGAAGCTCATAGTTTCAAGTGGGTCATTTAATTCAATTGTATATTACATGTCTCTTAACATTTTCCTGTTTCTGAATTTGTTCAAGAGATAAGAATTTTTTGTATGAAAGGAAAATGATCGTTTAATTAAAATAAACGGTTTATCGTCAATTGCTCTTTATTACCTCTTGCCTAATATAATTTATTCGTATCCCGTTGAATAGTATTTAGCGGAGGAAGATGTGTTTTTATTGTTTTGAATAACGGGAGAAGTTGTGTAATGTTATTTATAACATGACTAGTAATTTCCTGTACATTACAAAAAGAATGTCGTAGATATTTTGGCATTAGGTGATTCATGTTCACCTATCATTTTTATCATATATGTAGATTCTTAACATGTTAATTTTCAAGGCCCCATTTCATATCTAATTATTAAATATGTATACATTACACTGTGTTTAAATGTTACAAAAAAATTAAGAATTATTTCATAAAAAAATATCACATGGCATTTAAAGACTCAATATTACCCCCCCCCCCCCACCACCACCACCACAACCAAAAAAATGCTCAGTCACGTTACACGAGCAATCATTACAGGAAATGGTATGTAATCATTGTAAGAGAGAGAGAGAGAGAGAGAGAGAGAGAGAGAGAGAGACAGAGACTGAGAGAGAGAGAGATGCATGGAGATGTGGTTAAATGTTATGTCACTGTGACACTGCAGGAAATAAACAAGTTTCTATTAAGGGAGTGTAACAACATGATACTTAATTTTCTGAAAACTATCTAAGCTAAATAATTTTTAAATTTTCCTATATTCGATCACTGGCTAATCGAAAACTTCAAGTTATTGACATTTAATAAAGTTGCTTTCACTTGGCTCCTTAATGCTGTGTTTTTTAATAAAGTATGGTACATAACTTGTACATAACTTGTTTAAAAAGATTATTATATGTTTTTTCGACGAAGCTACCGTTTGCGACCACTTTATTTCGGATGAACAGGAACAAGGTTATTCATTGTAAATCCAATAAAAATTCCTTCAGTGACAATCGTTTCGGAAGTTTCTAATCGTGGATCAGAATCGGCAAGACTTTAATAATCGACCATTGATTGATGGCAACTATCCCTTACAACATTTATTTTAATAATTATCGGTTGGAACCACTCTAACAAAAAATACTTTAGTTAACTATAGTTAATTATAGACTACTATAGTATCAAAGTTTTTTTTTACTGAAGTAAATCAGAGTATTTTTACTATGGATTTTAGATAGCTATATTTGTTGTTCTGCAATTCATACATGCACGTTTTTTTTATATTAAAATTATGGGACAATTTCTTTGTATATTTACAAATTATTTCCAAATTTTACATAAATGTTATCGAATTGAAGAGATTTTAAGCTTTGAGATCTTAAAAATTTTCAAGTGTAAAGTTTAATTGTAAATCAAAGTATAAAAGTTTTTGCTATAGTTAACTAAAGTAAACTATAGTAAGTTATTGTTAAGATTATTTTGTCATAATGTTCATGTGAGATACATTGTCTTTCATTTATTACAAATACACTAACGAGACATTTTGGGTTCATACAACATGCTCTGAAACTCTGCAAGAATATTTTTACTATTTATAGATTTTCAGTATATATATATATATATATATATATATATATATATATATATATATATATATATATATATATATATATATATATATATATATATATATATATATATATATATATATATATAACAGTATTTGGTGCCTACCTACTTGTAATTTGTTTGAAGCTTGTTGATTCACTATTTAATTAAAACGGATAATTCTTTTCTCACTATTTTCTTTTATACCACTTATACAATGGTCTACATCATATTTAACAAGGGAGATGAAATATTTATATTATATTTATGATATAAAAAAATGTATGAAATGCTTACCAAGGAAAGGTATCCGTGATTAAATCAACATCATGTCAAATAGTCACGCGGAAATAAGTAATATCTCGTGATTTCTACTATAAGGCCGAGAGCGTAGTTGAAAAGGAAATCATTTACCAAAATAGATGTGTAAGTTAATAATCTCACTTAGAAAAAAGAGAATAAAATTAGAGTACGTGGTACTAGATTGTACTTTTTATAAATAGCAAAGCCATGTATGAATGGATGAGTGATTGATTGTAGTTTTATCCCATTGCAATATTTTTTTTCATTCATAAGAGACATCACCAGATACGGTATCTAGGCCCAGACTAGGCACTTAGAAACAGTGATGGTTCTTTAACGTGCAAAAACCAGCCGTGACAATGGACGTCAAATTTTTTAAGGTCTCATTGAAGGACCTGCAACTTGCACTTCAAAGTGCCGAAGATAACTAAGACCTCTACCTTATTATCATAGACTTCGGTTTGTCGCGACAGGGGTGCAAATCCGAAACATGTTCAATCAAATAGATCATTTTTTTGTAATAGTTCAGAGAATTTAAAAGTCTCTTTTCATAATGCCTATGTAGTAATGGGCGTCAAAGGATCCAATATTTTTATCCCCACAGGGAATCAAGTCAATCAATAATTTTGAGAAACATATGCAATACAATAATATTTCTTAATATTATGTAAACCTACTGCGACTTATAAAGTATATCTTAGATATAATTTAAAGTAATATTTTTCTGTTTTGGTATGCCCCCTTTTCACTACAATAAAGGCTTCTCCCACATTTCATTTCACTGTTAAAATGAGAAATGAATATTGCATAATATATGTGAAAAGCAAAACATTTCACCATTTACTTTTTTTAGATTTATTAATCCCATTGTTTTATATAGTTTTAGCACACAATTGTGTGCAAAACTAAGAAAAAATATCCATAAATTAAAATTGCCCCCATTCCTCTACAATCAAGGCAAGGTAACAAAATTTCAATGTAATTTTTCTTAGCATGGTACATGTATATATACAAATATATATCAAAAAATATTTGCCAGTATATTTCGTAATTTCCAACTAGATTAGGTCTCGTTAAGAATGAAAAAGAATGATATTCGACACTGATATGGCAATCAAATATAAATATGATTTATCAGCGTTCAAATAATCAAATTGAAATTATTATATTTTATTGGGAATAATGAA